GGGGGGCGCGCAATTTAATCCTATTTTCTGTCTTTTTTTCTTTAATATATATAATTTTTTTTATTTCCATTCTATGAAGAAAGAAATACATGATGAGATCAAAACGTAGCATATTAAAGCTAGCTAGCTGTACGGATTCTATTGCAATTGTATAGTAGATTGTTTTGCATTTTTTAATTTTTCTAATTATGTACGTATTTAATTTAAGATTTTGCCCCCTTATGCTTTTCTCGAATAACTTGATGATAATCAAGTTATATATATATATATTTCATGGAGGAAGCTATTGTCAAATGTGGGCATAAACGTTTGTTCCCTCGAAAAACATCCATGCTTCCAAACCCTTTTTTGCCATCCAAATATATATTATTGTTAATTACCTTAATACACACACAGATATAAAAATGACAATCCGTAGAGATGGGCTATAAATTTAGGATATACCTTTGTGATGAGTACTATGATTGAGTAGTGAAAGCTGCTGGTCTGGTATTAGATATTTGTTATAATATTTATGAAAAAAAAAAGCAAAAAAAAGATATTTCATAGAAGATCATGTGGTTGAAGCTATAGAGACGGATCGATGGTAAGCTTGAATTTAAAGCACATCGATGTGTCACCATTATATATAGTTATGGAGTTGGTGTCTCTCTCCTTTCGCTTACCTCCCAACTAGAATTTTTGACACATAAATATGGTTTTCAATTTTAGCGTATTGTTGGGAGATAAGATGTTCGATAGATTCGATAACCTCATCTAGAAAAAGTAAGAATATTTAAATATTAAATACTTTTAAGATATGTGTAGCTAGGCTCTACTTATATTGAGTGATTGTCCTTTATCTATATATTTTTTTATTAAGAATCGTCTTGGATGGAATTTTGCTTAATTACACTTGTCGATTACCCTAAATAACTAAAACATCTAGCAAAAGAAGCTAGGATATATATATATATTACTTATTTTTCCATAGAGTTGTAACGTAGGTAAAATGTTGTGACGGGAATTTTCGGTATACTAGAATAGATTCACTAAGGATATTCTTATATGGAACAATAAGGCGAGATTGCATATTGAATCATTGTAGATTCCTTCTCTTAAAATGTATTTAAGTGAAATGTATGTGCATTTACAAATAAAAAGCTTGGACCCTCAAGGATTGGGGATGCATTAAAAGATCATTATGAAAAAATCATTCGATAGCTTTTCTTGTTCTGTAGGTATTAAGTATCCTAATGAAACTGAGGTTTTAGCAATTCAAAAGGCTCTTATTTCAAGTACTAATTATCGTTATGCTTTTTATAGGAACTATATCATGAAGTCTAGTTCTTACAATGCAATTACTTAGATAAAATGAAATAATATCATGAGGTCGTGACAATTATAAGGTGATTTCAATGGTATATTCAAATGACAATCTTATGCTTTCTCTTGTGAGTTTTACATATATTTATAGAGAAATAAATTATACAACAAATCTTTTGGTCAAGCATAAAGTTTATAGAGAAGCTAATTTAGTTACATGGTTATAGTTATCTTTCGTAAGTTTATATTTTGCTTAAGTTGTCTATTTTAGCAAGTTAACTGGAAACTTAGTTAAGTTTATTTGGTTCATATTTACATTCTAAGTTATTTGATGTTATCTTTGTTTCTTTTATTTTCCTGTTTAGCCATGTTTTTAATGGCTAATCAATTGCTTAATAAGATTTTTGTCTTTTACAAGTAAATAAAAAACTAAAATACTTCACTCTGATTTAGAGATTCGTTGTTAATCATTGTTTATATAAATAATGAAGCTCTTAATTTGTTTTTAGTTTATGAACTTTTTTTTGTTCAATTTAGTCTCTCTCTCTCTCTCTTACCTATTTAGATGAAATTAGCCTTTAAATTATGATAAACCTATAAAAGAAAAGGAAAAATATATGAAATGTAATATACAAAAATAAAATATGTTTAATTCAAAATTCTTGTAATTTTCACTTTTTTTATTATTTTCAATCTCTAGATGAGAGAGAGAGAGAGAGACTTGCTAAAAAATAACACTAGAGAGAGAAAGTACTGGTTGTCACAATTTCAACAACTAAAATAATCAAGAAGTATTAAAATAATTCATTTTACGAGAAGAAAGTACTGGTTGTCACAATTTCAACAACTAAAATGATCAAGTATTAAAATAATTCATTTTACGAGAAGTATTTGATGGTGGTGGTTTTTTGTCCTCATTTTGCTAGAGAAAATAGATCGAGATTTGCAAAGATATGTGATCTTAGTTTGAGTTTTTGATTTTTAACCTAATTTTTGCTATTTAAAGGCATAAATGAGTTTGTTGAGTTTTTTAGGGTGTTTATAAGGTTATTTGAGGTGAAACATTGCTTAAAAATGGATTGATTGGTTAAAAAAATCAATATCAATTAAGGAGATGGCAAACTAGAGAACAAAAGAAAAATTGTCTTGGTTACATGGAAATTAAAACAAATAAAGCAAAACATATGATAACGGACTAAACAAAATAATTCTACATGTTGGTCCAATACTTGGTGTCCCTGGGCTTAACCCCTTTCTATCTTTTTATTTTTTTTCCTTTAGCAATTAGAAAAATAAAATTAACTTGTTGATTCATTTACTCTTCAACATGGTTATTAAGTAATATTATAAATTTTCAATTGTATGATTGTTTTAGTTTTCAATTACATAAAATATAAAAATATTTTTTTGAATATTTTTTTAACTTTCTTTAAGAATCATAAAAAAAAAATTCTTGTAAAAACAATGATTCTAGTTAAAAACCCTGTGTAAGATAAACAGAATACACATTAGTAAATTAATTTATCGTGATGAAAAACAATTTCCAAACTATTGTATTTCTGGCTTTAAAAACAATGCCATAAACTTCACCGAGACCTTAATAATTTTTCTTTACTTTCACAAAAATTTTGGTCCCACTGTAGCATAAAGCTGGCATACAAACTTATAAATTAAACTTATAAAAAAATTGACTTGCCTTATACTAGAAAAATGGTCTGCCTCCTTAAACGGTTCACTTTTTATGTGAATAATGGAACAAGTACTTTATGTTCCCTAGTTATGACTTGCTGATCTAAAATTAATAATAATATTAAATAATTATTATTTTACCCGAAGTGTAGCACGAGCGGTATACATAACCCTTGTCTTGCTATCCCTTCAATGTAGTGTACTGATTGTTCTTGTATGTATGTATGTATACGTAAACAGCATCGTAAAAGGTAATGAAGTATACTATATCATTCAGGTCCCGTTGGGATTAGTCGTGGTACGTACAAGCTGGTCCAGACACCCCCCTTAATTAAAAAAAAAATATATACCATATCATTTCAATTAATTAGCTAGCTGCACCATATCATTCAGGGCCCGTAAGATTAGTCGTGGTATGCGCAAGCTAGCTCAGACACCCACGTTAATTAAAAAAAATATATATATATACAATATCATTTCAATTAATTAGCTAGCTGCAGACTGGTAGGTTTAGTTATGTTACCTGGTAACCAACACCGATTAGAGACAAAGGTTCCTTAAAACGCACAACAATAATTTGTAAAGCAACAAGAACTCTTGACCTAATATGTTGCTTTACTTTTTGGGAACACCATAACTAACCTAAAACAACGTGTATTTGCGAAGGTGTTCTGCTGCAACCATCATATTGCATTTGAATTTATGGTATCTAACTTCAAGGAAGAAAATTCTACAAGAAAAATAAAGAACTATTTTGGTTCGTGTATGATATGATGTAGCAGCTGTTAAATCGTTTTCTTGATAGGAAAAATACAAACAATCCGAGTGGAGCTCAATGTTTCACTTTCACGGATGTATATATCAAAGCAGCAGTGCCATTTTCTTCTATGTAACATTCTTTGATTGTGAGAGTTGCTTGAAAAGTTGAAAAGGGTTAAAATAAAAAAGAAAAGAAAAGAGAATAACTAGACCCTATAAGGATCAAGATTAATTAAAATGTCAGGATATGGGACCATCTGGTTTCAATCTTTTCTACGATATATATTGGTAGTCAAATAATCACACTAAGCTGCTATCAGTCACAGGTTTTGAGAGATTTAACCCAAGTTGATGAAAATTACATTGTTTAGAGGGGAAAATTAAAAATAAAACTGGATTTTAACCAAATCATAAGTTAACTCGTCTAATCGAACGGATGAACTCCATTTAATAATTTTTAGAACTAGTTCCAGGCAAAGGACTCGATGAACCTGTTGAGCAAAGTCGAATTTAATAACTCTCCTAAAAAACAATGATTAAGTTTTAGATTTCTTATCTTAACATCATAACGTTCAAAGTTAATTGTGAGATGTTAGTATTCAGGAATTAATAATATCTGAATTTATAGAGAATTTTTGGGGAGTCATTTTCCTAGGAATCTCAATTATTGTATTTTGAAAACCACAAGATCAGAGAAGCTAGCATTCATGAAAGTGATTTTTCTCAAAATCTTCAATTAATTAGACTGGCTTACCTAGTCATACACACAGCAACCAAATATAGCAAGTGCGTTGCAAACAAAAATGAAAGAGCTAGGACCATGAATTTGTTATCATGGTACAATAAATTTTGTAAAACCCAATGGGGACACGGCCAGATACCCCTCTCTCTCTCTCTCTCTATCTCTCTCTAGACTCTAGCTACTGCCTGGCTGCTGAAAGTTACGTTGCCCATTATAGACTTGCTTTGACTTCTCTATGCCTTGGTGTAAGAGCATTCTCAATCACTGCAAAGATTAAAAAAAGAAGGAAAGAAATAGGGTTTAATTAATTAAGGTCTGATCATTGAACAAACTGCACATATATATATATATATATATATATATATGTATATGTAAATGGAGGACTTGTTTTGCTAATCTTTTGGTGATTCTTCTTTCCTGTAAATGTTGCTTTCTGGTGGGTCTGAGCAGAGTTCTTGAGCATCTGGTGCTTCAATATATAGGATAGGC